ACAATTGATGCTGGACGCCTATCGTCGTCAGGAACAGCTGAAGGTAAGTGCTTTTGCATGCATATCGCTGATCAGGATCTCTGTCCCTGATGATAATTTATCCAACGTAGCTAATGTTTTAATTGTTACTACAAATAAAATGTAATGACAAAAGGGGATATATTAATATGTTTTAACTAACTCTGAAAATTTGAACGAATCATAATAGATGATATTAATATTATCAATAGTAATTCAGTAGCAGATCTTGACGCGTTCTGCTTTACCACTAACTGTTTATTCAAAGATCAATAATAAAACATGCAAATTTAAAAAAATGAAAAAAAATAGCAAATTTTTATGAATTAAAATTATTTAAAAAAGAAAAACTTATACTGTTATACGCAATATATATTTGTAAAGAATTATAAAGTGGATCGATTTGATCACTCAAGAGATATTCCAAAGAGAGAAAGCCTCTAACAATAAGTCGCTCCCATTGATCCACATGTTTAGCATACATGTATATCGATCACATGTGTATCCTCTACACGCCCTATGTATTCGAGAAGTAAGGTAGCTTATTTCAGAAACAGCTCGCAAACTTATTTAAATTGAAGATACAGATCTTTCTTGACACATTTGACACGATCTTTTTAACGTATTCTTTATTTTTTTTTTATGTGTGCGCAAATTTTTTCTTGTAAAAATAAACGTCGAGCAAATAATTTTATTTTTACTGAATAATCAATTAAATACGTCATTCTGATAGTCTGACAGTTATTTTTTATTAACATATTTCGAACGCAATATCAATTTTAAAATTCAAAAAGCACAGTTTTCATATGCATTGGTTTTTCCATTTATATTAAATAAACATAAAATTTCGAAATTTTTTATTTATATAATTTTGAAATAGCTTTTGCTTATATTTGTCTAAATTGATATTAAAAATTACAAATATTTTTAATATACATACATATATAAAAAAAAATTTTTTTTATTTTTTAAAATTTAAATTTACAATAAATAATATTTTGAAATTAATAATAGTTATAATTAAATTTAAAATTTAAAATAAATATTTCTTGATAAACAATGATACGTAATATATGTCGCACTAATAAATGTTAATTTAAATTATCATTGGGACAATCACAGACTAACAGGTAGGTGTATTGAACTAGTAGAAGCGTGACCCATTTTCACTTTGTTTTTACTATCGATTAGAATCTTTACGACTCTCCTACGCATTACGAACGCATTCACAAAAAATCAATAATCGATTGAGAAACAATGTTAAAAAATAATCTATTTTATACATTTTATATTTAATCTATGTATTTCTATCATTTTTATGCTCGCGCGCACAAATATCTCTCTTTAGAATAGCAACAGGTATGATTATCTTTTTAAACTATTGACCGCTTGAATAGTCATAGATGACGGCATTTTGCGTAAGCTAAACTGATGAAATTACTGGTCAAAGATTTTTTTGCTTCTTTTCACGTTATTTCTTTGAGCGAAAACCTGATCAAAGTTAATCGAGTGTGGATAATATATGTTGCGGCAAAAATTGGGGCAACGGGAGAAATTGACAGTACAGGAGTAAATCTATCTTAAAATTTCAAAATTGATTTTTTTATATTTATATTATATTGCACGATGGTTTTTAATAAGATTCTTATTTTAAATTTCGAAAAACTGACAGTATTAAATATTTATATAAATCATATTTACATAAGATCGATTATATGGATAAGAATAATGATATTAACAACAATTTTTGTTATTTTTATTGTGTAATATTATTGAACAAATTACTGTTCAAGTTTAATTTACGAAACGTAATTAGTAAATTATTTTTTACTTGGTCTCTACAAAAATTCCATCTGTTTTTCTTGCATATGAGTTAGAGAAATAGCATTATACATGCACTTCAAGCATTTCAATAATTAAATGTTCCGTTAAAGCTATTGATCGCATTGCAGATCGTTAATGGACGGAACAGAAATTAATATTGCTTCTTTAGTTCATGAATTAATTGCTCCTCAGCAATTTGTACCTGCATCCTTTTTTAAAGACAATTTTAATTAATAATAGAAAATATTCTCATTAAGAATCTCATTAAGAATCGTTGTGTTTGCCAACTTGGTACGTGCCACACGGAAAATTGCGTCTATGAATTTTCATGGGGGCTTTGTTCGCTCTCTTGAGAAGCTCGACAGAAAGAGGTCGTGTGTTGCAATGTAATTTGTTCAATTTGTCCAAACGCGCACCCGCCAGTTCCCTAATGTTTTCTTTGCTGGGCAATGAAGATAAAATTCCTATCGCATTGTTGCATCTCAGTAGAATATTTATCGTGACTTTTCGCGTCTTTACATCTCTCATAAAATACAACAGAAAAAAAATTGCAAAATTTTATTCAACAATGAAGATATTTTTTTAGATTCTCTCTGCTTGATTATATAAGAGGAGCATGTTTATTATAACATGATAAATGTGTCCGCTTTCCATGCTCATTATTTTTGCAGAATACTATACCTCGCAGTTACATTAAAAAAAACTGGACTAATTTAATATTCTTTGTATCGTGTATAACAAGTAGATTGATATACCGTTATTCCCAAGCAGTGAATTAATAACGCACAAAGCATATAAATTCTCTTTATCTTCACGGAAGTCCTACCAGTCAAATAATTCCTTGTTGTTTTTTACGATACGATTTGCTCGGGGTTCTGTTTCGTATTACTCGCCGGTTGGTTGTCCTATCACGTAATACGGTCGTCTACACGACATTTCGGTTGAAAGCTTCCATTACACGGTCTCATCTTTATGTTTCAACCCTCCATTATGTCGCCCTTGTCCGCGAATTTTCTGCACCGTGTCGGTGCGTCGTAGAAAACGAGAGGAGACCTTTGGATCTTTGTTGTACTAACTGAATCCCCAATAATCGAATAGAACGATAATCTGATAGTGCGATAATGAGCATGTAATGCCTCTATTGTGAAGAGCTATTCAAATATTGAATGAAGAGCTGCGCGATTGACAGGACGTACTTGATTTCAACTTGCGCTCACGGCAAATGTAGGTCGATGACAATTTAGTTTCGTCTTTTTCTCTCTTTTTTTTCCTTCCTTTTTTATTGACACGATACCGTCATGCGAATGATTTAGGGGGATGACAAAAATTTATAGAATGATAAATTTGAAGAGAAACAAATTACATAATAATTTATTATTTTCTAGATTAGATTTAGATCAGGTATCTAGTTATCATGTTATTAACGTAATGACTTACCTCGAGCGTGCAGGAAAATTGGTTTGCTCTGCGTATAAAAGAATCATATAATGACACAATTATACTAATATTAACAAAATTCTCAAAAAGCAATCTTCATTTCTATAAAGATGTGAATCATAAAGGCACCATAAATGGTTTATTAAATTACTTTCAAAGAAAATTTTTTATCAAGCGCTCTGTAATTCTGTGGAAATTACGGAGAAGTAGAACTGTGTTTATTTCGTCAAGGTCGGGAAATATTCCTCGCCGTAGATTAATTTGCATGGTCGTATTATAAACAGACGGTAGATATGAGAAGCATTTCGTTCTTGCGCAGCAGGACTTTCGAAAGATGCCCTCGATACGAAGTGCTCCGCGACACGCAAAGTCACGATATTATTTTATTACGATTCGACAATGTGCACATCGTACTTTTTGTCGCGTAGAGAATTCCTAAGGGACAAAAAGTTCAATTTATCGTTTCCATTATTCTATTAGAGAGGGAATATTTGATGAAGCTTTTTGTCCGTATCCTTCTTTATATCGCATTTATTTTATCATCGCGCAAACATGCAATGTTTATTATAAATGGTATCCGAGTAATTTTCGAGAGAGCGAATTAATTATATAACATTTTAACGAAAATTAATTGGAATGTGCGACATAAAAGAAGATGCGATAATTTATCCATGAAGAAACTTTATTTAAAAAAAAAGGGATGACATTTTATAGTCGGCACATGTGCATATATGTATCTTTGACACAAAGACATACCACAGAAATATGCTAAAATTTATCTATGCATTACATTAGCTGTAATTTTTCTCATAGATTTGATGAAGATCAGCTCTTTCTTTATTCAGATACATAATTATGTATACAATTGTTTATCACTCGCATACTCATATACTCATATACTTTGCCAACGATGAATCATCATGAATTGTTCCCTTGTAATCATTGTTCTTTGAAAGTTATTTCGAAGATGAATTTGCTGATTAATTCAGTTATTCATTGACCACTTTATCTATTTTACATGGATGGCAAAATATTGTATGTGATTGCATTGCTTTTATATTACGATTATGTAATAATTCTCGATATAACTCTTTTTATAAACAAAAAAAGTACACTAGACAAAAGTTTACAAGTTGGAACATTTAAATTTTTATAACAGAATATAGATAACAGAAATAATTGCAATAGTTTTCAAGAATGAAAGAGATTTCTTGCAAACTTGTGTGTCTTATAGCACTCGTAGATATTAATAGGTACACTTTATTGGCTCCATCGAAAGCGGAAGAAGGCACATAAATACAGTGACATTAGAAAAGTCTTTGTTTCTTGTTTCCCGATTATTTCTAACTACTGTTCTTGCATGTATGTGTATTTACTTGCGTGAGATTATATTTACTTACTGCCTATTTAAAGCCTACAAATATCTTTGCTGAATGTGTGTGTGTATTATACGTATTAACTTTTCTATAAATAAATTATAATATTGTTCTTTTTAATAATTAAAATTGTGTATAGAAAAATATCAGCTTATCGAACTAAATTGTTATTTTTCTGTAATTTAATTATTTATATCAAATGGTTTATTTACTGATTTCGATAATATATTAAAATTAAAAATGTATTTTGCAACAAATAATTTAAAGTAAAAGACTACTTTACGATGTTGCATTTTTTCAATATTTTCTTATCAAAATTGTTATTTTTTCATTAATACAGCTATATTTACTTCTCAATTTTTTGTATCAGGTTTAAATATTTATCATATGACGGATTATGTTTTGATTTACTTCACACACACACACACACGTACATTACACGTGAAACTGGCACGCAAATTGAGGCGGTATCGATTACCGTGAATATAAATGTTTCGTTAAAAGTATATTATACATATATCCATATTTACATGCAAGATACAGATACTTACGCGTAATACGCATCACAAATATAATGTACTGTACAACTAATTACGAATAGGCAGTTGTAATGTTCGGATTCGCGTATCAGCAATAAGGAATCGCATCAAACGTTTCCACTCGCGATATCGGCGATATCTAATTACAGTACTACAGTGTCCAACGATAGAGTAGCACAGTAAACCGATGTAGAAAAAATATAAATGCACATTCGTTGATGGCCGAAATGGTAATGCGAGCGCTGAGTCGTCATTATTCTACATCTATTTTGTACATCGAACAAAACTTGTTTATTTTACAGCTTACGGAAAGGTCGCGGTTTTATTGCATAAAAACAAATGTCACTTCTTGCAATGCTGATGAACGCAATGAAATCTTGTATTTCGGCATTTACCTATTTCTCTTGTTTCGTGTTGTCTTCGTTGATTAAGGAATTATCCATCGTTATTTTATTTACACAGTACTTATTGCACGAAAAGAATGTTGTTTAACGCCATCGAATTTTCATCAATATAAATATCATTCGTTCGAACAACGGATGGCATTAAACATATTTTATTACACACACATTTTAATGAAAGTTTCCTTATTATACATATTATTTGGAGGTAAAATCTCAATGCTTAATGCATCGGCAATTGATATCGGTGTCAATCCGTTGGTTTTGCGCGTAAACAAAGTGATAGCGATACATCGAAGGCAACAGTGAGCGTATAAATATATTTGGTTAAAGGTAATAATTATCTTGGACCCCGAATGGGATACTTTCACTGGCAGGGATCACTTTAACTCCATCTCAAGCATTGAGGTCGTATTGATGTCGTAACGATCAATCACATAAATGTCTATTGTTTAAACATTAACTAAAGAGTTTAATTATATACCTCATTTTCCGGAAGACGATGTTAATGTCCGTCTGAGTGTCCAACATCATTCGGGCTTTACTTTCAAGATCTATTTTTTTCCCCGCTAGAGGAATGGATTTATTCAACACGATGATTCTTCATATATCGCTCTTTTCTCCTTAAAAGGAATCCTCATCCATATCGATTAATGGTAGCCTTTCATAACCCAGCGTAGCGCTCATACCAAGCGGCTTGTACTGCTAAAGAGCCATACTTCTCATCTCGTTTTCATTGGCCTGACTCGGAGTGGCGGAGGAAGGAGTCGCCTCGACGAGACCCTCATCCTCGCCCTCGGCCTCTTGACTGTCGACGCAATACCTACATCGCATTTTCGCGTCGTCCCCCACTTGTACCGATCGCGAGATGATGATCAGAGTGATCACGCTGATGATGAAGAGTCCAGTCGGCACGATTATGGCAATCAGCAGCTCTATTCGCGTTTTCTTCAGGTCGAAACGCGCCACCACGAAGAACGAGTCGTTCTGAATAACACGTTTCCGCATAAATAATAATTGCGCGTATCGTAATTTAGTAATATATTTTCCATTTTTCCACGGAAGAATTATTTCAATTTTCCATAAAGATCATCTTGCGTGTCAAGTACAACGCGCTTTACGTTCTTTTCGCGTAAGTGGTATAATAGAAAATTCTTATCGGTAAATAGGATTTCAGAATAGATTGAGCCCATAAAGTCGTTATGCACATTCGTTTAACCTTTCGATGAAAAATTCCTTACCTTGTTGTAATAGCAGGGATATCTGACTCTGTGCGGTCTGATTGTCGCCGTCGCGACCGTGGGTGAGCTGGAATTGTCTGCACTCGCCCCTCAATGTGTTGACGCAACGCTCGAGATTGATGTATAGCCGTGAGCTGTTATAGATCGTCAGTGACTGCTGCGCCGGGACATACGCGTTTGTAGGATCCGCCGGGTACTGCAGGCTCTTCTCGTAGATTTTCAGGAAGCTCGTGAAATTAATGGATGGTTGGGGAACTGTAATCTCGTTTAACAAAGTGCCGTTCACGCAATCCTCCGTGCTGTGAATGTAAACAGAGGCAGTAAACGGCACACCGCGTATCATTGAATTGTCAATCTCATTACATGGAAATGAGCACGGCGGGAAACGTTGCAAATAAAACGTGGAAGGACAATTGTGCTTTTTATTGTACACACATTAATTTAATAATGTGCGGATTTAACGCATTTTTCTAATGAGAAATTAATTGATTCTCTGTCTCTGTAAACAGATTTAGGGATCTCTAGCGCGATTCAATCATGTATCCAATTACTTTGTTCGAGAATTAATTAATTTTATTATAAAAAATGCGTGTCGTTTCTCCATAATCGTTTTCTTAAAAGATAGAGAAGGGTATTTCCATAGCAACCATTGATCCTGTAACTGTAAGTTCGATTCACTCTAATATCTTTTTGCCTCCTTTTCCTTTATCGACACGCTTGTTCTTTCTTATCTTTTGACAGTTTAATAAAATTTCAGTCTCTAAGCTGGAATAACTTGAGAATGATAAATAGTATTGCTCGTCGTAACGGTATTCCATAAATATTGTACGAACGAACTATAACTGTAGTACATACATTAATCAACATTACGCGATGATATAAATATAATAAACGTTAAAAAAATCAAAGAAAAGTTTGATTTACATTGCGATTCTTTGCTTTATAGGCAGAAAATGTCAAGGTCCGAGTTTGATCGATTAATACGTATGCTAACGTTAAGAATTCTTTTGATTGAACAGGATAAAGGTACTTTCCCCTTCCAATCATTCGACAAAGCCTCAGTGCTTCCTGTCTATCAACGGCAATTCAATTTTCCAGATTCTCGCGCCGCATTGAGTCTTCTCATTTTCCACGCTTAAGGCACTTTGATAACTCAAAGATACGATAGGTACATGCAAAGTAACGAATTGAATAGTGGCTGATAGTAAGCCTTTCCGCCTTTCTACGTCGCATCTTAAAAATGGATTCGACAACAGCGCTCATTAAATATAATTATTTGCGATATAGATAAGATATTAGCGTTCTTTCTCTGCAATTAATGGTAACTTTATTTATTTGTTAATGATATTTTTCGATTTGTTCTTGTTTATCTCGCTGATTCATAATTAGGACAGGCAGTTCGGCGTGAAATATAATCTGGAGGCAGGTGCGCGAAAGGAACAGATAATAAATAAAGAGAAGAATGAACTTAAAGGGGAGGCAGTATTCGTCATAAAAAAATTTATTATATTACCATTCATCATTACCTGATGACGTTGCCGCTCCGCTTGACAGCGAAACAGTTGGTGACGATGCTGCCGTTCAGTTCATCCCAGATTTTGACGGGCACGTCCAGTCTAGTGCCAGGCAGGCTACCGTTCGCCCTGTTCAAGGCCATCCCGCGGGAGCATCTGGCGGAGATAATGCTGTCGTCCTGCATTAGGTACACGTTGATGTCGCTCGTGGAGATGCTCGGGCAATATCGGTCGCAACTGAAGGCGTTCTTGATTTTCGTGCATCTGGAGTTGTGACAGCTGAAGAAGCCGTTCAGCTTCATGTTGTCCTTCTCGCTGTCGATGACGACACCGTCCGCCTTGTAGTGGCAGAGCATCAGCTCGCTCATGTTGGAGCAATGCCCGAGGCTGCAGTTGAACACCCCCGTCAACATGCCGCACTCGCTACCGTTGTTGCAATTGTACCTCTTCATATTGCCCAGGTTCACCTGCCGATGTTTTTCGAATTCTTGAGAATCTCATTATTGATCGCGCGTGTCAAATTACACTTCGATATGGCATGAAGCTACGGCAGATAGGAATGCAATTGCGTAATTAGCTTGCAGTTTAATTTGCAATTAGAATTATAATGACAAATTTAATATGAAAAACTTTTTTAATTAAAATCTTAAATTAACTCTTTGTTCGAGAGTACTTAAAAACGAGACATTTATACAATGTCGAGCTTTAATTAATTGAGGTTTTTTTTCATTTCATATTTTTAGCACGCTGATTCTATTCTCCTATTATGCAATCGCTACAGAAGTTAATTAGCATTTATTTTTTGCTCCGATATAACTCTAGAGGGAAAAGGTCTTCTAAATAGAATATACGCAGAATGACGTTATTACATAATTAGGAGAATTACCACTTCGCTGTTTATAGAAGTTTGTCTTGCATTATCAATACGGTCGTAAAAGGGCCCGGTATATATGCTCTTGTTACACACTATATCGCTCCTTCTCATCAACGCCATTAATTAACTCACATTACTTTCGGGTAGTTTCGGTTTTGTTGGCGAAGCATTAATGGTCGGTATACACTACGATGCCATGCGCCTAAATATTCATATCCGTGGGCCACTCCCTCGAGGATAATTCGTATCTATCCACCCTCGCTTGTCGTTAGATTAGAATCATCAATATCAACTATTTTCGTCTGCCTCTTGCGATTCGAAACCTTACGACAGCCCCCGCCGTTAATGAACTTTTTTCGGATCGTGCATTGAATTAAAATCGGCAGAAATTGGAGCGTGATTTTTTTAATTGCATTTCAGTTCCGGATATGGATATATTTGACATTTGCATCACAATATTGTTATAATGCTTTATGGAAAAAGTAGTGTTCATGTCACATTATTTTATCGTAATTAGATTTTATCGTAATTAGATTTTTCAGGATTTGCGCAATAACCGTCCGTAAATAATCTTTTCGATTTGCCAGCATTGTTGATAAAACGTATAGTTGTTGTTTCTGATAACATGTTGCTATTATGATGGCAAAAATTAGCGTTCATATCACTTGCGCCTCCATCCTGTCGTGTCTGATGAACGCTTTTATCAGTACGCTTTCATAATAGATGAAATTTACTAAGTAATTACATTCACCAGCGGTAAAGTAGGTAATACTGTTCGCAAATTGTAGCGAGCGAAGGAGAGGAATTCTTTTTTAAAATTGTAGTGCAGCGTGCGCGTGTGTTTGAGATTCTGCAATAGCAATTTTTTTTCTTTGCAACATTGCGAAAAGTTTACCCTATCACGGGCTGAAGGCATCCTGTTGACTATAATCGATGTCCCTTGATTGATGAACCGTTATATAGAGGGGAAGATATATTTTATGATTCATGAAATAGGGCAGAAATTGTAGCATAGATGAACATGAGATCTGACTTTCTCTTCTTTTTTTGAGAAAATATGATTTTAATATATATGCAATGCTTTTTCGATTTGACTTTATATCAAAAGCATATTAAATTATCTTATTTGTAAGCATATGGCATTATTAATGCTTGCTAATGTCAGGCTTGCTAGAGTCGTAAATGGATACGATATAAATAGGTCTATTTTATACACTTACTTTCTTCCGCAATTATCTCGAGGTTACCGGCATAATGTCAACATTAATGATGAATTGCGCGAAGGGTCAATATTATCGAGGATAAAGTTGAAAAGAGCAAAAAATTGATTTTGAGGAAACGATTTCACGTTGAAGCAACATATCGCGCTTTGAATTCAATATAAGCCGTGAGCGCGGAGAATTTTTAATAATAAAGTAAGCGTTGCCATCGTTTATTCGGACGCAATTTAAACCTTCTGGATCGACGTTTGACGACACAGCAAAGAAATTGGAGTCTACGCTCTGCCTTCGGTAAAAATGTAATATTCCCATGAGATGGAAACCCACGCCCACAAGAGAGTAGTCGTTCGCATGAGAGGTTACGATCGTAGTTGGCTGGAAACGTACCGTGGAATAAAATGATCGGAATCCGAAAGGCAAACGCGCGTCTTCAACTTTCGAGAAGAACTTTCGTATTTCACAGCAAGTTTTCGGAAGATTATGGCAAGTGACTGGTGAAATGTGCGGACAAAGCTCGTCATTGTCTTCCGCGGGAAGATCTGCTAAGGATTCTTAAGCTGATTGCGTAATTACGCGAGGTTATAATGGTTTACGTCTAATGGAAACATGAGCAAGATTGATAAGGCTTTAAATGTATAATATCAGATTCAGTGCACCGCATATGCTTTAATCCGCGGAATTAATTTATCAATAGCCTTTTCTTTCACTTTTATTCGTTTTGAGCGAAACTTTATATTTTGTTTCAAAACAGAACAGATTATTATAGCAAACTAATAATAAAATTAAAGCTTAATTAATTAAATAAATGAATAAATTTAATTTAAAAATTCCTCTCTTTACCGTCATTGTTTCTGATTTCTATAAAAACAAGCGAAACAAGATCCGATATTTGTTACTTTTTATATTCTTGCGAAAGATAGCATTTCCAATACAATTTATATATACATTTTAAGTAAACAATACTATCCGGTATCCTGTATTCGGAAAAAAAGTTACCAATAATTTCTATAGATTCCACATTTTCATTCATATTTTAACAGAGAATATTTTTAAATCTGCAATATATATTTTTTTTATCCGAGAACTTTTAAAATATATTTTGTATTGGAAATACATCTTCACGTTGCTTTATTTAGCGTTGGCTATAATTAAGCTTTCGAGCGGAGGCGAATAGGAAGAAAATAATTATCGGAACTACTCTACGCACCTGAGGGCATGAAATCGTGCTGAACTTGGTGCAATTTTCGAAAACTACGTCGGTGCCATTACGCCTCACAGTCGCGTGAATCTGAGGACAAAAACCGCTGGTCTTTGTCAAGCACCATTCACCGCAGCTTGCCCAACCACAATTGTTCACCATCGTGGCGTTAACGGTTTGGCACATCACCGGTTCCGGCTCGATGCCGATGTGGAAAGCTCTGAAATTAGTTAAGCCGGCGTCATTAACATGCCTTGAATTTCTCAAAGGAACAAGCGGACAATATTCTTCTATTGGTTTTCCTCGGATTATATTTCTGACTTGAATAAAGCACGAATAGTTTTTCTTGAATAACGTTGAACAACGCAAAGATTTCGCAAGATTTTGCAAGGATTTTGCAAGAATTTCGCAGACAAATAAATTTCTTAGACTGAGGTGAAAATCGTTATAGTCTGTTAATTAAATACATCACGATAAAAACAAAATTAATATTTCGTTAAAAAAAATATAAATGTTTAACGTAATTATATAATTCTTGTTTATATATATATTTACCTGTAGGACGGCGCGTAAATCGCTACGCCGAGATAAACCAAAGCCACGCAACTGATGACAAAGGTGAACTGGAAGAAGCATATGCTACCGCAAATTCTGCGATCTTGTTCTGGTATCAAGCGGCGCTTCTGTTTCGTCCCATTGTGTGACACTTTGCAATCTAGACCTTTCTTCAACACCTGCCTTCTCTTGCTTTTTTTTCAATTTAGAACAATTTTAATTTCACACCAGTCACAAATTTTAATTTCACACCAGTCACAATCTTGTAGGCGAGCGATTCTGGAGATAATAATCAAATAGCAAATTTACTGAAGAATTATTTCGTTCGTTGAAGTTTGATAAACTCCTCTGTTGATTGTGTCATTCGAAAATTAATTCTCTTCGAATCGACAATCCTGCTTTAAAAACATAAATTCAGATAATGTATATTATATTTTCTTTCTATATTAGAGTACAAGAGGTAAAAAGGCGACTTGATGTCGACGTTTCATTACTGTCATGGAACCGGTGACTATAGCCAGCTTCATAAAAATTTAATCACCGTTTCGCACGAGAAAATAACAAACTGCAGGGATCAGTGGACTGCTCTCGAATCGATCGCTCGCAACAGCTTTTTACCCTTGTCACATTCGCCGAAATATATTCTCTACACGTGTACAGACGAAATATTTCGTTCCGAACCCTCGTTTGCTTTCCATATATTATTTTTATTTGAGGAATAAAAGTCCGCGAAGTCGGTCGATGGGTGCGTGTGTATGTGTCACAAGTGCCATCGATTAAATGATTTTGCTATAGTTACCATCCTCTATAGGCACGAATACGCGTCATGACGCATGATCGTCACATTCATCGAAAAGCGCAAAATGATTCTTGGCCTTCAAGTCTTATTTTTCATTTCTCTTGCGTTGAAAATTGACGTGTAAAAGTAGCACTCGATTCTTAATCGATTCACTTTAATTTTAATGAACGATTTATGTACCGTTTCTTTCACAAACTTCGTTTTTCTTCTTCGAACTTAATTAATATTGATTAATGTCAGCACTTTGTGATACGTCAACGATTCGCCGTAACATCTAAGTACACGAACATGTGACTCAGCGGACACGTGATTCATAATTCTGTTTAACTGCGGCGAATCGCCCCATTTTTTCACTGAGATGACTCGTGTCGATTCAAACAGATCAGACCGTTCAGTGCAGACGAGGCGTGCAAAAGAGGCCTTTTTCTTTATTTGCGCGACGGGCGACTCTCCCTTGCTGTTCTTTCGCTAAATGCGTTCGATCTGCCCGATGCACTTAGGGCAATTACCATGTGTTAACTTCATTAGCCGTGTAGTTGTGAGCAGATGCTCTACATAGGATAGCATAGAATTAGATGCTGGTAATCCCATTACCGCGACACTGTCGAGCGGGCGTTAAACGACCGCTTGAAAAAGCGCTATTGATCCGGATTTCCGCCATCGCCATCAAAAATTGTTCATTGAAATTTCATTTCTGCCGTTCTTCACGTCGTTGCTGATGTACGCTGACTCGCAGCTAAAACCAATATACATTTTAAGCACCGATAGAGAATTTAATTGGCGGAAAGCAGCTTGTTGCGCACAATTCTCTTTGAAGTAATTAGGGCAACGGCCATATTATTGTGCAAACGGAGAGCGCGAAGTACGCGTGTTTTTTTTCATGCGAAGAAAATCGATCTCGATGCGAGGAGAGACGCTTTTCTGGAGGACACCCACGATAGTGCGATGAAGTCCCTAATGGTTGTTCCACTTGCGGTAACCTTGGACTGAGCGATTATCTTGCCGATAATACCACTGGGATTCTCGTTCTCAGAACGCCGTTTCCACAGACGTGCTATTTCGCCGTGTTCGTCATCGTTGGGAATGACAAATAGAGCCGATAATTTTCGTTCTTTTTCTATAACGTTGATTATAGTTTCTTTCTATTTCTATTTTAATAAAAGTATTGATATCAGATTAGGCTCGATTAGGCTCTTGCAAAATTTTTTTTTTTTGTAAACTTGAAACTTCGGCAAAAATTATTAACTTCTTCTGAAAATTATACGAGTTTTATAATGTTTTGTAACACTCGTTGTCTGACTAAACGCGAGATCTTACTACTCGTGCGAGTCTCCGATAAAATCAAAGCTACTTTACCTTGAAGCTTGTTAAGTGCCTCAATCTCTTGAGGATCTCGAAGATTTTAAATACTTTTTTATACGAAGTTTTTCTCGCTGGATCATCGATTTTTCAAGCGGTTGACACAGATAATTAGGTTTTCTTCGAGAAAAAGATGATCTCTTTGCAGAAGTTCGATGATTTTTATCTTGATACTGGTATAATTTGCAAAATACCTGTTGGCTGTTTATGTTTTTATATGTTTCAAGTCTTCATAAAATTTTATAGAAAATTTCTTATATTTTTTATATTTTAAAGCTTTGGCGATGAGTTTCTCAGATCAGGATTACAAGAATCAAATCCTGAAGTATTCTTTGCGATTTACTATTAATAATACGAATACAATAACATTGTTATTACAATTTCACTATTTTTATTGTATTCATATCACATTTCACTAATAATTTATACTTTGACACTAATTATATTTACACAAATAATGTTTGATCAACAACAAATCATTCAGTTGCGAAGTTATTTAATTGTAAAGATTAATTTCACACGCGTTTGCGATCGATGTACTTATTAGATCGTCAATACTGAGCAACGACCTCACAATTGTCCGCGATCTGCAGGGTCATCACTTCGTCGCGATCTTTTCATCCTAAAGAAGAGATTCGCGATCACGCGATTACGCGCGAGGTAGCCATGCGACTAACCAGCTCCGACGACTGTTTGAAAACAAGTCTGCCAGAGAGTCGGTTCGCAAGCTTTCTCGCACAGAGCTTGCGCCGTAGTATGTCGCGCTCTTTATGGGGGTGGGATTTCTTTCATGGTGGAATGTCCGGATAAAAACATCGATCTGCAGTTCATAGACTTGTCTCATTCTGTGATATGAGAATAGGTTACGAAACTTCTGGAATAAGAAGCTACTTGAACGCTAAAAACACAATAGATATTTTTAAATTGTTTTTTATAAATTGCTTTATTTTCAAATACTGAAAAATTATTTAATTATTTAAATAATATATAGTTATATTTTTATATATAAAAAGTCACGGACACTGTTTTATCATTGTATTATAAATTTATTTGCAGTTGTTCAAAATTGCAGAAATTTTTCACTTTAAGATGAGAGAAAGTATTATTCTTTTTATTATAACAAATTGATATTTGCTATTATTTACTATTATATTATATTATTTATTTTTTATTCTAGTTATTCGTGATATTAACATATGATTCTCTACATATAATTTATTTTGCTTGAATTATTTTTTTTGTAATCATAATTACATCTATAAATGAGTCAAGAAATGAAATAGCGAGTGCTCTGTCAAACGAGAAATTATTCATCATACGGTATAAATTATAAGTACAGTGCTCCATGAAACAAAGTTAGTCAGTATCTGCCTTATCGATTTAGATTTATCCCCTCGATATCAGCCCAGTAGGGAGTGTTAGTTCCACTCGATTAACATTTCTGCGACCTTCACCAAAGGTCAAACGTCTTCCTTTAGTATTATGCAATTTTTATGCAATGTATGTGAAGATTTTCTATGTAATGTCACAGCTCGGTAAACGAAATATAATAAAATTTTGTTATTTTAGAGAAAATGTATGTAGTTTTCGCGTTGTGAAATTATTATTTCAAACGAATCAATTTCTTAACCACACATATTCTTATTGAAATAAGACTAAACAAGCAAAGTAAAGTGAAAGTTTGTTTAAAATATTTCGGAAAATTTCGGGGCAATGATTATAAATATATTTTATTAACAGAAAACGTATTCTTTCATATATTTTAAACGAAATCGTACAATCTCTTATTTACAATAGTCCGTTTGTATCGCAGAGCGAACACGGTTTATATATATAGTATGTATATATTATGTACAATATTTATGATTCAGTACGAAGCAGTGGACGAGTTGAAAACTTTCGAGTAGATAGAAAGGAAGCGTCTCGAAGAATATTTCCTTATTTATATTATAGATTTTACATATATGAAAAGAGGCGAGAAAAAGAGAGAGAAAAATAATGTCGGCATGATAAATGTTCGGCTGTAGGAAGTGCGTGTACTATAGCGAAATAACGTTGCGAGAGGATATATATAAAGATAATTATTGAATGTTCGTTTGTCGAATCGATCGAAGACGAGCAGCACTCGATCGGTCCGATCATTGCTTTCAGATCGAGTAAAATAGCTAGATTATGTGTGGAAATAGAATTCGCAATACCTCATCTTATTATCAATTCGTGCTCGACTTACTCAATTAAAAACGCTTGAGTTATGTATCCTACATCACTCTTGCATATAAATTGTTTGAATTTACTAGAATTTGTTCACCTATCTAAGGAGGGATCTCAAGCAAATATTTGAATTTGTAATTTCTGTAATTATCATAATTTAATAGATAAATTTTTAAATTAATCTTCCAATGTATAGAAATAACATTTCATATTCGGAATACTTTCATCGCTATTCTTTTTTTCTGTTATACAATACTAAACATTACAATACTATTGTTATGGTACTCTTATAATTTTTTTATTTAAAATAAAATTTATCTGAATACCGGAAGATTATGGAAATATCAGCACTTTTAAATTCTTCAAGAAACAAAATCGTTTTTCATAATTTTACGAGAATAGTCGCTTGAGATTCCCAATCTATATTACTTTTTACAAACATTTTCTCTCGCGATCGATGCTCTAAGAATGCTGTCTACGACGATTGCGACCGGCTAGTCGGGCTAGCGAATTTAATTGGCACTAGAACTGATACGAGATGCGAGAATTGTGCCTACACGCGAATTATCACTTTGGATTGTCCGCGTGGAGCTTTCTTGATGTTTCGCTTGAAAGCTTGAATATCACACAAGAGTTCTAATTCTAACTGAAGACGCAAAATTTTGCAATGTCTCAACGGCAAATCGGCTACAGTTCTCTTTTAAAAAGCGCAACAAGCGTACACACATGAGTTTGATTCGCGCCGTTTTTTTTCTTCTTTTTTTTCGTCGATTGCAAACGTCTTGAGCAAAAATTCTCGCGAAAAAGAGTGCGTGAGAAGAGAAGCAGGAATCCCTCGATTTCTAATTCGATGCTTTAACGATTTCAAATTAATGTTCATCTAAAATCATCTGATTTCTAATTTTGATTTTTTTTTCACAAATATATTGTATCAATATGCAACGTTACATCACGTAACGTATCGAGATTAAAATTTAATATTCTAATTAAAAATTATCCGACTTGTCCGATAAGAATAGTAATGAGAGAGAATTGGATTAGAAATTGTTTATGCGAGATAAAATCGATGGACATCTGCGATTCGTAGTCGATCACGCGATTGGTCGTAACAAAAGTTGGATTAGCAAGCTTCGAGTGGGGAATGAGTGCCAAAACGTAGGGTCCATGGGAAGCTGCTATCTCACGGAAGCTCTTCCAACGTCAAGGACACCTACAGCAAGGCCGAATAAGGATTCACAACCATACTAGATGTAGAGGATTACGACATGTGATTTCCATACGCTTCGAAACCAACGTTATTAAAGCCAATTCTTTCGACCGCGGCGTTCTTCGAAGTGATTAGAGAACGCAGAAACTTAATTGTCGATCGACGGAAAGAATTTTGAGAGATATAATTTATATTTTAGTTATAGAGCAATTTTTAATTCATTATTTCTTAACACACAATATGTTAGATTTAATAATTATTCGCAAATTTTTTTATGAGTCTTTTCGCTCTAATCGCGCTTTAATGGCGTCAATTAAAATTGCTAGTGAGTTATTATTTGCGTTATTTTACTTACAATTTTTGGCAATTTTATTTGACAGAATAAATATTATAGCTGAGCGATTTGTCAGCATTAAGTAGTGTGAACGACGTCGTTTCGTAGCTTACGGAACATAATTCGCGCGTCCTTGCAAAGAGTCAACTTAAAAGTATCATTATACCTAGAACTATAAACTATGCGCACAATCTGTGCCAGCGTTCACGTGCGTTTTATGCATTAATTTATACACGTTATTCGCATATATTCATATAATATATCTTCTCTCTAACTAAAATCCACGACGTGACTTGTGTCCGCGTATAAAATTCGTAACAACTCTTATATCGATTTCGATAGAATTACAATCGGTAATATTCACAGGCTTAACTTACAGCCTAGCCTTAATCTACGTTTCTTGGTGCGGAAGCGGATTTTGAAAGCAAACCGCTTCACTTGCTTCGCTTCTTCTTTTATACAATATTTCCACAACTTTCATTTAGTACACCGCGTTTGTATCGTCTTTTTTTTCATATCGATAGCAATATTTATAAACTGCTTTTTACTCGACAGAATTTCTATAAAATATGTATTATTACGATTTTATTTTTTACGATATTCTCTCTATTATTTAAGAACTTTTTGGACTATATCTCATTTATGCATTTCTGCATTAGAAGATTAAAAATTAGATATAAGAATATAACCATCGCTTAATTTACTTTAGAAAGCGATAACGATAGGAAGATAATTCGAAAGTGAAAAAGGAACAATTGAAATAATGGTAATAACAATCCCGAAAATCACGGTCGTAATTAAGTAATAGCGAGCAACGCGATTGGCTCGGCAGGAGTCCGCATTGGAGTCCGTTTTTTTCGTATTGAGCTCGACGGAATCAAGAAATCACGCCGAGCGCGTCGAGCCGCAAGCACGCACTGCTTCCATCGATACTTCACGATCAATTTATCGTCGAAAGGGCAGCTTACGTGACTTCAGTCATAAATATACGGCCAAACAACTTAGTCTAGACTCGATGCTGCTGTAAAACCTAATCTGTGCCGTTTAAAAACTATCTGCTTAAATTATCACGTAAGTAGGAAGGCGCGCCTTTTTCACAGTTAAGTTCGAAACACACGGAAGCCGTTTGTTATTCCATAACCGCTCTGCTCGCGATTATTCATGCAATGATTCAATCAATGTCCATACAATTTTAGAATATGCAGCTACGCTACTGAATAATCTAATGGGCATTAGCGTTTTGCATACATTAGCATCTCTATCATAAAATATTAATTGAATTAATTTGTGTGATCGGTATCTCATTTAATTTCATTAATATATTATTCCCTCCTGGCATTGCCGTGTGTTTCGAACTACACTTTCTCGAAACTCGCATAGAATACTGATAATTGAGAAATCCGAGCTCTCGTATTCACGGCCCACTTTACATCGTAAATTTAAGATTCGTTTATCGTAAAAATTATCACGCAAGCAATTCTCCAAATGATTACTAAACCCATCGCTTTACCTTTCGAATTATGTGCGTGACAATTAATTTTGGTGCACTGAAATGCCGAGAAAAAGAGAGATAGAAAGAGAAAAGGAGAAAATTCTTTTCATGCCACTGGCGTGAACCTAGGCGTACGTTTCATTTATTGAGAGCGCGATCCGAAACAGATTTAGAGGACAAAAAGAATCGGGCGTAGTCTGAAGCATAAGATTTTAGTAAGTGAACTCGTAAGAAGGCGAGGCTCTCGTTTTCCTGCTCTTCGTGAATTTGTTTCAAGCGCTATTACGCGATTGCTTAAATTTATAAAGTAAAGTACGCTGGAGCCATTCGGAGAATATTTCGCTGGGATCACTCCCGCGCCGGGGGGTGAGCCCTTGGTAGCAGTCAGTATTCCTCTTCGTCCTCTTCGAACTCGTCCTCTGCCAAGATGCTGTAAGAACGAAAAGTCACGGAATTACGGAAACAGGAAGGGGAACGGAAGTATTTCCCTCTCACTCACACAAAGTTGGGAGGAATCACTTTGACAATTGAATTCTATAAATCAAACAATGCCAAAAGTAAATAAAAATATATAATAAGATAAACATTAGTGACCGGATATTCAATTATTATTGAAGATATAATTTCTTGAATAATAGAATGTTACTTAACAGAAAATAAAATTACAATAATTTATCCATTTGCTTCATCGATAGATAATTAAGCATTTATCTTATGTATATGAAGACATTTAAATGACGAATTCTCAATGTATCATTCAATTTTTAATTTATAGCATTCTATTATCGCATTTTTCGATTGCGGTGATCGTAACTTCAAGGTAATTCCGTAAAATACAGTTTCTGCTGGCCGCAGAAACGGACACTGCATACATACACTTACTCTTCCTTTCTAGCATACTTGTCGATGAGATTGCGACCAGGGCCACCGCATGTCTTGCCTATCGGCGGACAGTACCAGTAGCACAGCACGCCGAGTGTCGCGGCGAACAGCACTATAGGCACGATCAAGGCCAGCACCAAGTGCCTCAGATTCTCGTCCCACGAGTATCTGTGAATGCAAGATAGCGTGCTAATCAAAGATTGACTGTTTCGTTAAATTCGACTTACGAAAGCTGCAGACAGTCAAAATAATCTTTATTGTTTATCAGGTTGGTGCAAGAGAGTTTGTTACTTTTCCGTGAGGATCTATTTTGAGTTATCGATTTCTCTAAGATTTTTTAAGACCTTTTTTGAAAATCTGGTGCACAAAAGCAGATGAAGAAAGTAAACTGAATGATTAATGTAAATTAATTTAGAGCTCCGCGACTCTCGGTCTTCAATTTTACAAGTACGATAAACCTTTTGCACCGATCTAATATTGTGCGAGAGCAAGATAAGCGAACTGCTCTGCGTTATCTAAAGGTTGAAAGTCGTTGAGAAAACAATGCAACTTTGACGAATTCAGATGTCATACCTCGCTTTATCGATCGTACCTTGCGACAACCGTCTCCGGATGCGTTCTGCTGTAGTAACAAGGAAATATCTTGCCCATGTTCTTGTAAGCGTACTTTTTCGCGAAGGAGGAACAGTTGACCGTGGGCGGGTAGCCGCACCCCTCCGTGTTGACGAAAAATTTCGTCTCCGTGACGTCCCACGGCACCGAGCCCAGCGGTTTCGCCATGAACTCCTCGTACGGGAGCTTCGTGTAGTTGACTCTGATCTGATGACAACGAAGCGCAGCACTCGTACAACCTACGGCGACGTCATCGATTACACCCGTACACAGCGATCGAAATCGCGGCAGAGGTACTCACCTTCCCTGCAACTCGCCCACGAGCAATTCTTCAGCCCCTCCGCGTAAACGTGACCCGTCGTGACGCAAGCGACCGCGTGCGGCGAGTAATCCGCCAGAATGGTGGATATCGCCGGCTCGACGACGAACGGGATCAGAAACAGGAAGGCGAAGACCGCGAGAATCGCCGTGGTGCCCATGCAGACGGAGGTGTAGAACTTGGCCTTCTCGATCATGGCGGTGATCTTGGACTCCTCCACCTGGACGCCCATTATCACCGTCGACTCGTCGGAATCAATGGTGGCGGCTGTTTGTGGGTCACGTGGACCCTACGCGTGACAGTCGAAAATACTCGGGAGATCCGAATAGCCACGATTCGCGTGGCTGATGGGAGCTCGTCTGAAGACGGGCTTGCGACCCACTCACGGCCACCTTAATTCGCACCACGACTTTCTTTCTTGTCCGATGGCTACAGCGGAAAATAATTTTTTTTTTACTGACCCCGAAAAGGATATTATATCTATAACTCAGACTGATTAAGCGATTTGCGATCTTTCAAGAAAATTTCATTTATTTATTTAAGAATTAAGTCAAAAATTCTTGTAATTATAGACAAGATGTATAATCTGACAAAGTCGATTATGATTAAATCAAATAGATTATTGTTGAGAATCGAGGGGTAATTTTTTAAACTCGAATAGAATGGGATTTATAAATGTAGAGTTGCATCGACTTGGAAAATTGTAAATTTTTAACGTGAAGAATCTTGATATGAAGGTCTTCTCGAGCTTGAATAGGCCGTCGACTTCCGTTGATGCACACTGTACATTCGTGCTTCCGATGAATGGTTGGATAAATGGGCAAGTTACGGAGAGGTTTCGAATCGATCGGTAAGGCGCGCCTCCTGGCTAGTAAATTCTTAGCTATTGGTCACGGCAAATCAATTGAGAAAAGTGGGACCTCTTACAAGCTACGAATGCGTGTGAAAGACGCCAAATCCGAGTTGATCTTCTCTCTCTTGAGCGACTATCCGCCTGTCAACGAGAGAATCGTGCTGAATTGTACACTCGATATCGTGACATCGTCTTCTCGTGTCGCATAAGCATGCGTGTGCGCTCTCTCAAGTATTTGGTGCAGGCAGTGCGAGTAGGTAAATTCTTCTTCACCTCGGTGTCTTTATCGTCTAAACGCCCGCCCCCTTTTTCGCTCAGCTTTCTTGATATTTTGCAGGAGTGTGTGTGTGTGTGTTGCGTTTTTTGTTTCATTAAGTTGCAAGATGAGAATTTTTTTTAATCACGCGTTCCCCCCCTCCCCACACCTCAGTAATGCCCACGCAGGGAGAATATCGACTGGCGAGCCGGACTCTCCTCCAGGAGGGGAATGCCTGTTAACACAACATTAAAGTGTGTATTTCAACATTGGTAAACACATCACTGTGATTGTCTAACAAGAAATAGCGTGTAGACGATCTCTCTCCAATTTTATAATGGACTTCGGACTTTGTAGAACAGCTCAAAACAAAGAACATACATCTTTTTTCACATTTGCTTTAGCATTTTAATTTACTACAAAAATATTGTTTTAAACATAATTGAAATATTTTTATCTCGCGCGGTCAAATGTCTTTTAATTACAACTTTTGCAGTAAAAATAGCCAAGTAAAATAATTCTTTGGATTTCTCAGTGATTCAGTTGGCCTTAGTTTGTTGACAGCAAGATAGAAAAGTTATTTAATGTGACATCTGATATATGTTTTTAGTGCATTGACAGACAGTTTATGTGCGCTTTCTTTTAATGACAATTTTTTAGTCCATTAATAGACAGAAATTTAATCCAAATTCGTTTAAATGCATGCTTATGAAATGTCGTTAATATCATAAAATTTTTGCTTGAAACTTGTTTTCATACATCTTATGGTTTCAGCGACATCCGCTCGGAATTGAATACGTCGAGTTAACTTCGAAGTGCTGTTTCAATCTCTATACCTGTATTGGAGAAAAAAGATACGTGTCTTTTATTTTGAAATATTCTATACGCATCCAAAGCTCATCATTTTAGCTCTCTTTTCTTATCTGATCGGCCGACCAACAAGAAAAAAGTTTTAGAATAATGCAGCAATGGAAAAAAAATTATTCAACATATTTTGGGTCTACAATTTATATTTTAT